CAGTGTCAGTCACGGACGCGCACCCCTACCCCAGGGTCACCTGGCCCGGCACCACCGCCGGCCGGACCCCGGACCCAGTGCCGGAGTGCCGGAGTCCCCCCGCCCCAGGCCTTGTCCCAAGTGCGGGAATTGCAGGAAGAGGAGCCACCACCTTCTCGCCTACCCACGCCCTCTCCAACCGACAGTCGAGAGGACTTTCCCGAAGGTCTTGATCTTGACTCGTGCCTCCACCCAGCGTTGCCTGACCGGGGACCTGATTAATTTTGACTGATTTTACGAAATAGATTTACGGAATAGTTCACGGTTTGTTTAAAATACTCCTGCACCTTCCTTGTGTACAGTCTAGTCCGTGTAATGAATTTGAATGTTCAAGTGCTCCAGTGCTGAGTTCTTTCCCCCCGCCCTCCAAACCAGCCGATGAAATAGGGAAAAAGTACAAATAATATAATCACTGCTTATTGCCACAAGCAGCAGCTACGGCTTCTCCTCAGGTCCGTCGAGTACGGCAGGGCTGCCTCCAGGGCCTTCACCTCCTTTCGCGAGTTGAATGCTGCAGTTGGCGCAGTCGACGAGCCGTGCGAGTCACCACTGGTACCCTGGGCCGCCCTGGGCGCGGCCATGCCCGGCACCGCTCCCCCCAGGCCACGTCGTTTGGCCACGGCTTTGCCGCGGCAAGATGCACGGAATGCCGCACCGGGTTTACGGCCCATCCACTGAGCCTCGCCCAACCGCGGCACCGCCCGCAGAACTGTAAGCCATGCCCGAAAGGTTAGTCGCCGCCGCCCTCGCTCGCCTTTTACCCTCCTCCTTATCCCGTCTACTTCCGAGTCCCCGCTGGCTGTCCACCCACGTGTCCCGCCGCTTAGCGTGCCTAAAATCGCCGCGTATGCATAGCCGACCGCTGGCAATACAGCGGAATTTCACGCCCATTTCTGCTTAGATAGCCAGCCACCTGATATACGCGCTTTGCGATTGTCCGAGCGTGCCCGAACAATGCAGAGTCAAACCTAACTCACCTAACCCCCCTCCAAACAGGGTCCTGGGCAACGGCCCCGCTGCACGCTAACAGTCTGTTGACAGCTTCTCCTGCAAGCACCTCGAATGTTTGCCGTCGTCGCCCTCATCGCGGCCCTCGCCGCCGCCGTCGTCACCGCCCCGCCGCACCACGCCCCCCTGCGCTGCCACCGGCGCGACGCACTCCTCACCGTCGGCCGCCGTCGCGCCAACTCCGCCCGCGACGCGGCGTCCCACCTGTTGTCCTGGGCGCAGCCCCACCGCCTCCCGGACGTGTACCTCGAAGGGAACATTGGAGCGGGCAAGTCCACCCTGGCCACGGCCTTGGCCTCGACAGGCCGTTACTCTGTCTACCAGGAGCCGGTCGCGGAATGGAAAAATCTAGAATGTTACAACTTTCTACGACAACTGCAAGTCGACTACTGCAGATGTCTTCGTGCTTCAAGTAGTCGTTTTAGCCACCCTTGCCTGCCGCCTTCGCTTCGCCCGCCCCTTACGGAAGCAGCGCATCTCCGAGCGATCATCCCGCTGCTCCCTCGAGGTCTTCCGCCGTGCTACCGACGATAGAGGGTTCCTCGCCGCGGATCAATTCATCGCGCTCCGCTCGTTAGCTGAGCGATTAGCGAAGCATATAACTCCAGTGATGATCAAAAAGTTTCGCGTCTGTCTGTCTTCCCGCGCAATAACTCGAATACGGTTTGAGCTAGGAGACTCTAATTTTTACTGTAGCTTTGCACCATAAAAACGAAGAAGTGTATTGATTTTGAG